GAAGTCTTATGAAGTTTTGCGAAGTCTGGCGGAGTCTTGTGAAGTTTTATGAAGTCTTGTAAAGTCTAATGAAATCTTCTAAAGTCTCAAGAAGTCCTACAAAGTCTGTGAAGTCTCACAAAATCCGTGAAGTCTCAAGAAGTCCGTGAAGTCTCACGAAGTCTTTTGAAGTCCTCTGAAGTCCCATGAAATCCTATGAAGTCTTGTGAAGTCCCTTGAAGTCATATGAAGTCTTATGAAGTCTTTAGAAGTCTTTTGAAGTCTTGTGAAAATATGAAGTCACTATGGTTGAAGTCCGTTGAAGCCTTGAAGTCCGCTGTTTCCCCCTTGATTGAACCTTTCAGGACTATCCAATGAACATTAAACCTATCTATAGACAAACATTATAGATCAAAGGTCTTCATTTTGATTTTTTTCGGAATATTGGACTCTCAGTAAAATGATAACTCATAACCAGTACATCATCGGGTCGAATCCTTTGAGGCTTTTTCTTATCTCAATATATGCTATCTGGTGAGATATGAATGAGTCAAACAGATGCTGGACACCTCAAATAGTTCCCTTGTTACTGATATCATTATATTCAAGAAGTGATGCAATAGCCTTGAAACAGAATTCATGGAGTGAGTGCGAACATGTCAGTGTAAGGATGTAGGTTAAGAAAATGTTCACACTCACACACCCTGATTCTGCAAAAGAGCATTTTCAAACAAAAATTATGTGTGCAATCAGGACCAACAAGGATATTTACACGTTTCTAAACGACTTTCTCTAATCAATCATAACATATTACATTCATTGATTTAACAAATCAACCCATAAGACTTTTCAAATAACTTAAATTTTGTGCACATGCATCCCCGATACAGGTTTATTTCAAATTGAGTAGCAGATCTAGAAAAAATGTAGTTCCACAAATCTTTCTGCATCACATTTATAAAATGATTTAATCAAAACTTCTTTTATGTAAATCGAAGCTATTGTCAAAGATTAGTTCAATATTGTGATATTAACTAATTACACAATTGTTAGCCATATTTACAGAAGTAACGATGAAAACCAGTTTTATTACTCTATTGAAATGAGTAAAATTTCTCCTCACATTAAATTTCATATCTAGCAATTATAATTTCAATATTCTTATTTTTTATTCAAGCACTTACTTATTAAAGAATCATAGTAATCAAGATTTGTATCATTTTACTTTTACACCTTGTTTTAATCTATTTAACATGGTGAATAATTTGAATGCATTATCAGATAGCAAAACACGTGAAGAGAACAGTTATTTTAAACTTGTAACACGTGTCCAATCACATTTTTTTCCAATTGACCTCAAGTTTACTCAAGATAATCAATAGTACTGTTTTATATGGGATGAAAAAGTAAAATAGATTTTTTTATTACTTATCGATAGAAATGACGATTTTATATTTTCATGATAATATAAATTTTTTCAATAGCATATTATAAAAAAAAACACATCTCATTTTAGTAAACAATTTTTATTCTTTTTGTATGTCTTTTTGTACTCGGAGTGAAAAAAACTTCTTTTCTTCTTTCATATAACAACTTATGTGTAATTTTATTTTTCTTTATTTATTATACTTTTTGTTAAAGCTTGTATTTCAATAAAAAATGAACAACAGAAAAAAAATCCTATATACGAGAGTCTTCAGTATACAGGTGATGAAAAATAACATAGATAAAAAAAAGCATCACTAGACCACAGAGAAAGAGGAAAGAAAAAGAAAGTGTCAAAGAGTTCGTTCGTCGTTGTTATCGCATTATAAATCAAACTTAAATACGATCGATATGATTTCTAAAATCATTTGAAGTTGTGACATATTCAACAAATTTTTCTTGTGGAACACTAAAATGAAGCATAAAAATAAATAAAAAAATAAAATAAAATAAAACAAACCGGCCACTGCCATCATCGAGTTTAGTCCAATGTTGTTCCCAAGTAGAGGTAACTGGTTTTGTTTGAGTAGTTGTTACAGTTGTTGTTAATGGTGTATTTGTTGCATCATCCCAACTGAAATTGAAAAGAAAATTTCTAATTCTAATTTCATATAGAAAGACAAATGTTTACTCATAATATCGATTAAGACGATTAAATACTTGTTCACCTTGGTCTCGTGAAATATAACCTCAAAAAATTAAAAATAAATAAATAAGAAAAAATGAATTAAAATTTATTCTTTACCTGGTGTTGGATTGTTTTGATCTAAAACATAGTTTAATCGATCACGAGCTGTTACAGCTGTCTTTCCCTGTGGATTTCGACTTAATAATAAATATGCATTGACAAATTCTATTGTATATAAACTAAAAATTTATTTTTAATCCTAAAAAAAAACAAAATTACCTTCAAAAGACAATTTGCCTAAGAAAAAAACAACCGATAACAAATAAGATTTGATAAAAGAAAACAAATTACAATAATACCTGATCCTTCAGCATCAAAAGCCTTAAAAACTCGATCGGAAAGTTTATCCATATCGTGATCAGTAAGAACTGCTGGAACAGTTGGACCAGTTTGTGCACTTTGATATAATTGTTTATATAAACGACGAAATTCTTTCTTGTCCATTTGATTACTTTTTCCTGTCGAAGCAGTAAATTCTTGATAAAGTTTTTCAACTGTAGCTCGAGGAATACCTAAAAATAATCTAATTTAACAAAGAAATATTATTCAATAAAAAACATTCATACCAGTAATATTACTGAATCGATCTAAATCCCATTGAGTAAATGTATTTTTTGAATGACTTTTACCCATTTTGATGCGAGAAATATAAATTGAAATGAAAACTTTGTTGTAATGTTGAGAATACTGTTAGAATAATGAAATGAATACAACACACTCCTTTTATATATGGGGACATATAGGTCGATATTGTCGTTCTCTCATTTTTCTATTCTTTTTTTTTCAGAACGAAGATTAGTCACGTTTTGACTGTAACAAAGGATAATAAAAAGATAAAAGAGAAAGAAAGAGGCTTGAGAAAAAAATGAAAATATCGCCATGATTAAATTTCAAACCACTTTCTCTCGATTTCTATTTCTGTCATCATAGGTGAACTAAGTTACATTAAGAAAGATATTTATTCTTGTTGACCTCGGTATCTTGATCGAAACTCACGCAATATTTTATCATCGGTGGTAAAGAGTAGAATGAAGTATAAAGAAATGAATCAATATTTACATTGTTATGCACTTCGAATGATGAATAAAAAAAAAAAGACAAAACTACTAACGAAATAAATGAAATCCTTTTTTTTTAATATAAAAAATATCAAACTTAATTTATGGATATACTTAAGTTTTTTTTTTTGAACAATACTATTTTAATATAATATAAATAATCTTATGTGAATCAAAAAACGATGCTTTATTCTTTACTCAGCGTTGATAGAAGACAATATAATTAAATAAATTTTAAAGATATACATTTAAATAAAGAACATAAATATTAATTGATATTCTCGTATAATTCATATCCATTTCTCTGCCTATAGAATATACTTAAAGTACATTTAATAAGTCATTCATAAGAAAATAGTTTCATGATTGACAATAATTTTGATTTAATTTTATTGCGAAACTTTAATAAATTTTATTCGTTCACGCATAAAAATTTCATATTCAATATCTTGTATCTAGACGGTATTCCAAAAGTCCGAACAAAAAAAGAAAACGTGAATAATTCCTCAACAATACAAGGAATTTAAATATTCTTTTTAAAGTTCTATTCAATACATTTCAAATTCGAATAAACCAGCATTGTAAAACAGTAATTAGAAATTGGATTTGAAGAAAAACACGTCTACTAAACATTGCATTAGCAATACATTTCAGCGATTTTATGAAACCAGTACTGTTGAAAATCGCTGATTGTAAAGTAATGATTGAAGAAAAAGTCGATAAAGTTAATGACACTTCTAAAAATGAGTCATGGCTCGATTTATGTAACTCTTCTTCTTTGTAGAACTGTTGAACAAATTGTATCTTGTATAATTTTAATAAGAGATGTTCCGTCATGATCCAGTATGTTATTGTTTGTAGTAATCAGCATACTTGTACAATAGACCGAATATTTGATTCTGGCTCATTTTCATAAGCATTCTTAACTTCATTGACTTTTTTCCCCAGTCATTGCTGTAGATCTTCTAGAATGTGATCGATTTTCAATAGTATCAATTTTACAAAATCGCTGAAATGTGATTCTAATACAGGATTCAGTTAGCGTGTTTTTGTCGAATTCAACTTGCAGTTTTTGTTGAACAATGGTAGCTAACTTGAATTTAGCTATTAGTAAAACTATTTTAATTATGCCTTTCTAAACACAGTCATTTTATCTGAAAACTTTAATGAATATGTCATCAAATTGTAAAAAAATATTTTAATCTCTTGAATTGCTGAGGAACTATTCACGATTGTTTTTTTTTCGTTCGGACTTTTGAAACACTCTATATGTACTATTACCATTCTTCATATGATAGAAAAAAAAAACATCGAATACTCTTTCATCAGCCATTACGAAAGAAAATGTCGATGTTAAATATTCTTTTCATTTTAGTTTATTTATTTCATCTTTCAAAATGATTGTGCAAAGAAATTTTATATTATTTTGAACGTGACTTTAATATAAAAGAAAATAATGTAGTATAATAACTAATCTTTTGTTTTTGATCACGTTCAAGTCAACACTTATTTTATAATTCGAATTTCACGTCACACCATTTCAGTATATTTGTTTTTTTTCTTTTGTTCTCTTTTTTTTTTGTACTTGTACTGGTGAGACAGATGGTACCAATCTATTTTCTTGTCTGTCATCAATAAGAAAAATTCTGTTACAAGCTTATACATACATAGAGTTTTGTCTAATGTATGTATCAAGAGTAAGATTAATTAATCAATATGAATATTAAATTAATTTTTAAAGATTATGATCTTTTTTTTTTTTATTTAATCGTCTATTTCAGATTAAAAATATGTGGTTTATTTTATTATTTATAATCGATTTTATCGTTGCAAAACCGATTTATTATGATAGTGCACTTGGTTATAAATGTGAAAGAAATGAACATTGCGGTGGTCTTGTACCAAATTCAATGTGTTTTAATAATAAATGTATATGTCAAGTTGGATATAAATCTGATGGCATTTTTCGATGTGTATCTGAAATACGTCATCGTCGACAAATTAATTTTGGTAAAAGAAACTTAAGTTTGTTTGTTTTTCTTCTTTTTATTTTATTTCGAATTGTTTTTTTTCGTGAGAATTTAGGAGTTCAAATGTTAGGTGAAGAATGTGAATCAAATGATGAATGTCGTCGAACACCAGTTGATGGAACAAAAGTATGTTTATTAAATCGATGTCAATGTTCATCTGGTCATGTACCAATTGATGCTTATCGATGTATTCGAGATTTTGGTTAGTCTTTTTATTTCTATTTGTGAATTTTCCTGTAATAAAAAAGTATTTATTGAATATAGAACAATTATCATCAAATACACGAGTAATAAAAACATCTGAAATAGAAGAACCTCCTGGTTATGGTTCAAGTTGTTTGACAAATAAGAATTGTCAACATTCAACTGTTCAACTTGAATGTTTTCGTGGAACATGTGTTTGTTTAGAAGGTTATGTTCCATTGGGAAAATATTTATGTTATAATATTCGTGGACAAGGTAAAGAATTTTTTAAATGATATTACAATAGTTTTTTGACTAAATTATGTATTAAGGTGCACCAATCATAGAAAGTTCAACTCTCACTTCTACGCTTTCTACAATAACATCAACATTCAATTTACCAAATAATGAAATTGTTAAATCTTTAGGTAAATTAGGTAATACATGTACAAGTGATTATTATTGTCGACGATCAGTATCTCAATCACATTGTTATAATGGAAAATGTTCATGTATTAATGGTTATATATCAGTGGATTCTTATACTTGTATTGAAGGTAATTAATTATTTATAAATATATCTATATCTATATCTATATCTATATACATATTCAAAATTAGATACAAATGCAGATTTAACAGTAAACTCTGTTGGTTATAAAAGTCTATTAGGTGGAAAATGTAAAACAAATCAGAATTGTCATACATCAGATGCAAGATGTTTAAATAGTATTTGTATTTGTCCAAAAGGTTATTTTCCTATTGATAGTTGGAATTGTTTAAAAGATTCAGGTATGAAATTAAACTATTAGTCTAATCTAATTAAATGTATTATTAGATGTATCTAATGAAGAATTAATTCAAACGACAACAAAAGCTTCCACGACCACGACAAGAGCAACAACAATAACAACAACAACAACAACAACAACAACAACAACAACAACTACTGGTTTTCTTTGGTGGCCATGGTCACCATCATCAACAACACAACAATCATTAATTAATTTAAAAAATACATTTCCTTTTCGTTGTTTACTTAATCGACAATGTATTAGTATGGATAGAAATTCTCATTGTGCATCATTTGGACGATGTGTATGTAATATTGGTTTTAAATTAGAAATGACTAGTACAGGACAACAATGTGTTCGAAAAATAATCAATAACGATGACTGTGACTAGAAAAAAAAACCAAATGAATCTTTTCTTTTTTGTTTTTTTAATGTTCCGGTGTATTGCTGTTGTTGTTTTTTTAATGTATATGTTGATATTCGAGTTCATTATTAATTTGTAGTAACAAACAACAAGGACAATATATAACAACTAAATAATCTTTAAAAAAAATAGAATTCTTTTAAAAATAAGAAAAATAATTAAATGGTATTTTATATTAAATTTGTTTACTTATAAATCAAATTCTATACGAATTTTTATATAAAATGAAATTAAAGAATTAGGCTAACAATAATATGCACAAAAATCTGTATGATGAAAAAGAAACCTTTCCTTTCAAAATAAATATTTCATATTCAAGAACATATATAAACTAATATCATTACAACATCTACATATATCGCGTTGCAATTGTAGTTCATAATTCTAGAAAATTTTTTCGAGCTTTTCTTAATGCTTAGTGTTCATAACTAGAATTAAATAAATAATTGATATCAACCGATAAGATAAACACTTGTGAAGCCTATGATGAGGCCAGCTTTAAGCATTATTCAGACGAACTTAAGCTAGGAAAAGTCTGTGATACCAACAAAAACTAGCCTATACGTCAATCTACTATTGTATGTCTCAATCAGCGTATTGGTAGTCCAACTTCACCATTACATTTCTAATTTTTAACAGTCAAAAAGAAAACAAAAAAAACTTGTTTTTTGTTTTAATGATTAGAATTTTAAAAAATTCCATGTTTCAAAATAGGAGCACTTTGTGTAAAATGTAAACGCTAATTCACACAACATGCAATCAGTTTGTGTCAATAGTAACGAGAGTTTGTATACATACCATTGTGATTTGCATAGATGAATAAATTTTTATGGTATTATTTAGAAATATTATCCACAAAAAAGATATTGACAATGAAATTTTTCAAGAATTATATCTTTCTTGAATTGGAAAGAAAAGTTTTTTGTTGAGGAAGTAATTTGAGAAACAATATTTTGGTTAAGTAAAATATAGGTAGCTTACAAAAACAGAGAAAACTATAGAAGAGTAAATCTTCAATGGGAAAAATTCTTCTACTTCTAATATCAGGTAGTTCTAATAAATGGAAAATGGTATGTCTCATACTCGTAATGATTGAAATATTAGTTGTGTTTTTTTCTAATTGCTTCAAGAAGATTCAACAGAATTTATAATTCTAATAGTAATCAAGATAAAAATATAGATGTGTAATGAAATAATAGCAAGAGAAAAAAGTAGTCAATAATAATGAAACATTAATCATCGTCATCCAAACCATACAAGAAGTGTTCTAAATCGATTAAAAACTACAAAAATCAATTAAATTTTTAAAAGAATTCTTCTAAAAATTATTTCAAATTTTTCATTTCGCTCAATTTAATATAAAACTTGTATAATTTGATCACTTCATCAGCGCCATTAGCAACAAGTAAATGTATCCTTAACAAAATTGATCGAATTTTAGAAATACAAAGACACCAAGTAAATCTTGAATCACTGGCTTTTTTGTGGAATTTAAGATGATCTCTTTTTCTGTCGCTGTCTATCGAAGCAACTAAATAGTATATTTTTTCATATAAAATAAAAGCTTGTAAACCGTTAACGAAAAAAAAAATGAATATAATACAAATATAAAACACTGCATTATTTCACACAAATTATAAAAAGGTAAAAGATTAAAACAAAAAAAAAAAGAATTTACATTATTGAATATGAAAAAGAAAATGGTAATGACTAAATTATTAACTGAGTAGCTTGTACATAAACACGTACAAGCAAACATTGCTTAGAAAACTTGTATTAATTGAATATTTGTTTCATCTATTTCTTTTGTATGTATTTATCTTGATTATCCGTATGAAAAGGTCATCGTTGTTATTCTAATAATACTTCATCAAATAGAGTAATATTATGAAAATCTATTTACTATTATTGTTGACGACGTTGATCAAAAATAGATTTAGGCGTTTTTGATGTACCTTGTACTGACAATAGATCTTCTTCAAGAGCACGAAATGATCGAGAAATTTTTCCTTCAGATGAATAAGGAATATGTTTTTGTTGTTCATAATTCATTACAGCTTGATATGTAGGTGATGGTTTATAATAAATATTATCATTACAATTGACTGTTGATTGAGAAAGATTATTTCTAAAAAAAAAAACATAATAAATTTTTCTTTTTTTTGTAAACTAAACTTTATAGTTTTATTTCAAATATTACCCTTTAATTTCATCAATTAAATTTCCTGTTTGTGATTTATATGCTTTTGGTCTCCACATTTCACGTTCTAAAAATTTGAATATTTTTATAAAATTAAACTAAAAACAAAAAAAAATTTTTAACTTACGAAGTGGATCTCGATTATAAGCTGATGATGATTCAAAATTTGCTTAAAATTTTTAAATATTAAAAACAAAAACAAACAATAACAAAATAATAAAAACTTACTAACTTTTGGACGTAAATGTTCAGGAATTTCATGTGTATAATCACCTAAAAACAGAATTTATCCAAGGATTTAAATATCCTCTCATACTAGATTGTCGATTCATTGATTTTTCTGTTCGTTCATTGAATTGCATTGCTGTTCGATTATGATTACTACTAAGATGAGTTTGAGGCTTAAAAAACAAAAACAAAGAATCTTTATCATTATTATTATAAAATAAAAAAATATTTTCTTGTACATAATTTGATACAGTGGAATTATTTTTAACAACTCGTAGGTTTGGCATTTGATGTACAGAACCTATTTTTGTTTGTGAAAACGATTGAGGTGTTGATATCGATTGTTGATTAATTGCTCCTCTATAATGAATATAGATGAGTATAAATTCATTATCATGATTGATAGACATACTTGATAACAGTTAATTCAAGTTCATTACCAGACCGTGCTATTTCCATTTTAACATCTTGATGAGTAAGATTAGTCACATTTCGACCATTGATTGATATAACTTGATCACCTGCATTTAAACCGTTTATATGTGCTAGTGTATTTGGATTGACCTTGGAGAAAAGAAAAGAAAAGAAAAGAAAAACAAAGGTCATGTAATTTTGTATCTTATTTAGATACATACCAATTGAATCGATAATGGGATGGACAGTCATTACCACCTAAATAAAATAGATACTTAACAAAGAATAACTTTTAAATTTAACCTTGAAGATGAAAACCCCATTGTTGATCAAAACTTTCACGTTCAAGATGAATTATTATTGGAGAATTCATCTTAGGAAATAAATATATCTGCAATTGTTGATATTGAAAACAGTTGGTATTTTCTGCTCTAATATACACATATACGTATATATATCACAACAAGGTTTGACACGGATATATAACAAACTAAACGAACTAGTTTCTTTCTGTTAATTCAATAGATTGACAAAAGGACAGAGAAATTATGTAGACTGATTGCATAGATTTCTTTCTTATTTCCCTATTCTTTTAGATCTAATGAGTAATAAAAGAGAAAAGAAAAGCAAAAGAAATCATCGGAATATATCAACATTACTATGTTATATTTTGGATATATACAGAACAAATATGAGTGAATTGACGCTTGAGTAATATGAAGAGAAAACGTGGATGTCAGATAGAATATATATCAATATATATATGATATTCAAAAGGATTTCCTTGTCATTAAAAAAAAAGTCATGAAGGGCATATTTTTATTTCTAAAAAAAGAAATGACATCAACTTCATTAAATTTATTTATTATTCATTTGTCTTCTGTTTTTTCTAATATTAATTATCGAAGATTTTAATCAAGTATGCAGAGAATATATTATTGAACAATGAATAAATCGAGTATAGAAAAAAATCTTCTTTTATTTTCTAATCAACTACATGCTAGGAAAAATATTTTTCATAAAAGATTCGTTTTTTTTTCTTTTCCACAACAATCATATTGACAATATTCTTCTCATAATATCATATTTCAATTTAATATAATAACTCTTTTCCTATAAAATGATATCTTAAAGATAAATTTATTTTCTATAAAATACAAGCGTTAATGATTGTTAGAATTTGTCACATGCAATGACAGATGTGCTAGAGAATTTTTTTTCGTCATAACATATGGCGATATTTACAATGACAACGATTATTATACGATCTATGTCCACTGTATTTCGAAGTATCAACCTAAAAATAAAATTTTGCAGTTCTATACATAAATGATGACATTCAGGATATGATATAATCTTTTCATTGAGAAATAAACATGACAGAAGCTTTTCTAATAGAATAGTTGAGAATTTCATATTTAGAATAAATGTATTTTAATTATGTTCTATCTTCTCTTTTATTAAAAAAAAAAAAAAAAATGCTTTTTTCTTTATTATCAATTTTAATCTGTCATCTGTCGGTGACGAGCGGAAAGATTAATCATGTTCTTCTTATCCAATGTTGAAAGTTAAGGTTTCGTTGACCTTCATATTTATTAGCAAAATTCTTTGAAAAGAAAAATTATTTTATACATAATTATAATATACTTTGAGTAAATTACAAGGAATTTAATTCAATTGAAGAGTTCTAATTTGTTTAATTGTTTATTTTTCTGAAAAACAAAAAAAAACTTCATATTTAAAGAAACATATTTCTAGGGTTATAGAACAAATAATCAATGATTAATTCACTCGACACATTGTGCATAGGCTTTTATGATGCCTTGAAAGTCTACTAACGACCCAATGAATTCTACACATCCATCCTGTTTTCGATCGATAATTATTTTATTTTTATTTGTTGTGACATATAGAAAAAAAAAAATACGACTTCAATCCTTGATTAAATAAATGTCTAGTAGAGTTTGATTCGTATCCAAAATTGATCAAATCTAAATATTATATTTAGTCAATGAAATTTGAAACAAATAACATAATGATACATCGATTTAATATATATTTAACAATAATTTTAATTATCAGTAGAAATTATAAATATTTTATATTGATCATAATATACTTGAGGTCATAATCTAATTGATTGACTCATCATTAAACAAATATGATTGCTGATATATGATCAATAGACTAACACATTTATAAATCGAATTTAACCAATCACTTACCATTAAAATTAATCATATTTAGTATGAAATTCTATCTCAACAAATCTCAAATATATACATCCAAATCTCCAATGAATTCTATTGTCTATATTAATCATTTGAACGTTTTTATTTTTATTATCTTCTATGTAACAATATAAAATCTACTATATATGATAAAGAGATAATTCATCGAATATATTACTCATATAATTGTTCTATTAAAGAAATTTATTAATATTTAATATTTAATTATTATATTTAGTTAATAATGAAACTAATAATAGAGAAAAGTGTAATATAGATAATTTTCTATATACATATTATTAATTCCTATAAGAAAATGAATTTTTTATTTTCTAAATATTTTCTTTAAAATGATTATTCTTTCTTTTTTTTTTTGATTTCATATAAATATCGTTTTATTCTTCTATGCTTTCAATATTTTCAACATAGAGATAAGCACTAACACTTATGAGATGAATATTATGGCAGATTTTTTTTTTCGCTGAACTGTCAAAAATACTAATCATATGAGACAAGTTGTCATCATTATGTAAACTAGATTAACACCTTGAATTCATTATATAGAATTGACAATAATTTATAAGTATTACATACATCAGGGCGTTTCTTTTTTTTCTTTCTCTCTCTCTCTCTCTCTCATTTTCTCGTTTTTTGCATGCTTCCTTTATTCTTATTTTCGCCTCTCTCTAGCCTAACTTACTATTACTATAATCATAGAACACGCAGTCGGGTTTGCATTTCATCAGTCTAAGAGAGGTATTCAGACGATAGAGAGAGAGAGAGAGAGGAAAAAAACGCATGCGCGAAGCATTCTATAAGACATTCTCGGCGACGAACAGACAATAGGTTCGTAGATGCCGGTTAATGCAGAAGAAAGATAGTAAAGAAAATATTCGTGTAGAATAATAAATATTTGTATTTCTAATTCTGCTTTTCCCTCCCTCTCGTTTTCTCTTGTACTAAAGGAAACAAGGACAACTTTTTTTTTTCTTAACTAAGTCGCATGGCACTTCAGCTCCTCCTTATGTTTTATCTTAACATTTTCCTAGAACTATGTATCTATATGTTATTGATGTGATTTTTCTGTAAAATAAAAAAGATCACTATCATCTATTATTTTCTTACTGAATTATTATTATCATGGTAATGCGTAGATATTCTGTTTTTCTAAAAAAATTTCTTTTAATATAAAGTTAAATTTATTCTGAAAAAATCGTTTTTTTTTTGTTTTTCATTCTAGATATTCACTAATCTTTTATCGATATTCTTATTAACATTGAATAATTCTTTAAAAAAAAAACAAAACGAGACAATCTAATGCTTTAATGATTAATATTATTCAATACTTTCAGAATCATTTGACAAAAAATAATCGCTCAATATCAAATCTAACTCAATCAATTGTATGAATCAAGCTTCTTAACCATTTGCCGGAAATTGACTTCTGACAACGAACAAGTCAAGTAGATAGCTTCTCTTATTCTTTGAAATACAAACAAATCTGACATTTCTTCTCTCGCTTTTTTTTTGTGAATCTTTTATCGACTATAATCAGGAAATATATTCAGAGATTTACATACGTAGTTGTCCCAATCTATTGATTTTCTAATATCTAAATTGTACTTACAATCGTATCTATAAAACTTGAGAAAATTTATTCTTCATCTATCCGATTGACAAAAATAGTATTAAGAAGAGTTGAGTTTGTTGTCGAAGTTCGTCTGACATATTTGTAATTTAATTTAGAAAGTTATTGAATAAATTTGAAATGACAACATACAAGTTAGATAATATATATATATATATATATAGAAGACGAAGAAAAACAATGATAACTTTTTTTCTTTTTTATAGTGAACAGATAAATAGATACAGATAAATAAATTGATGAGATATTTACAAGGTCAACAGAAGAAGAAAACAAAAAAAAAACGAAAATATGAGATTATTATAGATATTTATTGTTGGACAATAATTAATAAATACAGACAACAAGAGAATTCTTTCTTTTCCTCATCAATTATGAAAGAAAAATTAGTAGAAACAAATATTTTTCTCAATCTCTCTCTTTTATAATTAGTTATCAGGACTTTTTTTTTTCGAACATATAATAATTATATTATATGATTTTACGTGACATATTTTTGTCGACTTGTTGCATGATTTCTCTTTGGTTCTCTCTTTCTATACTTTTTTTTTTATTAATATTGAGCTTGCATGTTTCGATAATCATCATATTATTGCAGAAGATCTATAACAAAAAAATATGCAATCTGTTTTCTGCATCGAGATACGTATGTCACTATCTAGAATAGAACAGCTCTATGCATGTATTGTGTTAATATATATACATAGTAAAATGACATGCTGATACTTTGTTCTATATCTGATTAGTTAGTTGAGAGAGAGAGAGAGAAAGTAAGGCTTGATAAACTAATCAAGGACATTGATGATGATGATGATGATGATGTTATTCTTTTTTACTAAACTCTAGCATCAATCAGTTTTATTTCTTTTATTGAAAGCACGAACGATCATTAGGAAAAAAAAATCCTTCCTTTCTTTTTTTTTTTATGAATAAAAAATCCTATACGCTTGAACAAATACATTATATTCAATTGATGAAAGAAAAATATTTAGTCATGACTATAGAAAAGAAATATATCAATGAATTAAAGAGGATTTCTTTTTCTTAACACGTCTTAGAATATATATATATATATATATAAATAATTTATTTGTGTTCTTTTTTTTTTTAAGTTATTAAATGACTATACAATTAATAATATGAGAAATAAAATAATATGAAAAATGGATTCCAATAGAATAGGCAATGGAGAAATTTATAAACCATCAATTCTTACCGATGCTGTACCATCATCATCAGCAATAATTGGATATTTAATAAATAATCCTATTGACGATTGTCCAACATCATCTGCTCAAGATAGTGGTTGTTATTCATCGACAGCTGATGAATTACATTTAACGTCGTCACATACAACTAATTCTAATAATGGCGTAAAACATAATAATAATCATCGTCATCATCATACAAAACAACGTAAAATGACAACAGATCAAAATATGTTGTATAATAAAAATAATCGATCATCAGGGAATGAAACACTTGATAAAGTCGTAATAAATGTAAGCGGTTTACGTTTTGAAACACGTGCATCAACATTACAACGTTATCCTCATACATTACTTGGTGATAAACAACGACGTGCACATTTTTTTGATTCAATGAATAATGAATATTTTTTTGAACGACATCGTTCATCATTTGAAGCTGTTCTTTATTTTTATCAAAGTGGTGGACGTCTTGCAAGACCAGAAAATATTTCAGCTGAAATATTTTTAGAAGAAATTAAATTTTTTGATCTTGGTATGTTTTTTTTTCTATTCAAATAATAGAACAAAAACAAAAACCAAATCAAAATTTTATGATTTTTTTTTTTTTTTGGATTTATTTTAGGTGAAGAAGTACTTAAACGTTATCGAAAACAGGAAGGTTATGTAGAAGAAATTCCTGTTGAACAACCAATAAATGAATTTCAACGTTTTGTTTGGGAAATATTTGAATGTCCAGAATCATCAAATATCGCAAGAGTTGTCGCTATTATATCGATTGTCATGATTATTGTGTCAATAGCTTCATTTATAATAGAAACACTCCCGTCCATCCGTAATGAACCATCAATGTCACTAGAAAATAATGTAAATAATACACATCAATTTAATTCATTACCATCAGGTAATGAAACAAGACTTTTTTGGATATTTTTTATTATTGAAACAATCTGCGTAACATGGTTTTCTTTTGAATTTTTATGTCGATTTTTGGTAGCGCCGTCCAAATTTGCTTTTATTAAAAATGGTCCCAATATTATTGATGTTGTTTCAATTATACCATATTTTATACAATTAATTGGATTAATTTATCAGAAAAAAGATAATAATGTACCGGGATTTTCATCTACACTAACTGTATTAAGGATTGTTAGACTTGTAAGAGTATTTCGAATATTTAAATTATCAAGACATTTTAAGGTATGATTTAATTTATTATTAATTTAGATAGAAAAATGAACAAATTAAAAAAAAGAACCATATTCGATTCATTTCTCTAGAACAAAAAAAAAAATCTAACAATAAAGATTTAATTGATAATGCAGCTGTTGTATTTTTTCGTTGATCTTTGTAATAAGATCTTTTTGATAATCAATTAGAAAAATTTTTTTGTTAAATGTCTTTCTCTTTTTTTTCTTTTCTCTAGGGTCTACAAGTACTTGCGTTGACATTTTTAGCATCGTGGAAAGAATTACTTCTATTAATGTTTTTTCTCTTTATTATTGTTATTGTTTTTTCTTCATTTATGTATTTTGTTGAAGCTGATTATTCAAGTTTAACTCCATCAAGAGCACCACCAAATAATATGCCATCAACATCAATATCATGTCCTCCATCTACAAATTGTCTTTCAACATATGATCAACATATTGCTCCAACACAAACGAACAATCAGTTTGCATCCATTCCTGATTCATTTTGGTTTTCTATAATAACAATGACAACTGTTGGTTATGGTGATTATGTTCCACGTACAACATTAGGAAAAGTTATTGGTGCAGCATGTGCTATAACAGGTGTATTAACAATAGCATTACCTGTACCAATAATTGTATCAAATTTTACATATTTTTATCAACGACAAATGGAAGATAATGAACGACAATATCAAGCAAGACAAAAAGTACATGCAGCTAATCAATTAGCTTTAGAAAAACGTCATTTACATCCATTAAATGATAAAGATTATGGACCTGAACTTAATGAATGGGAAACAATAATAAATGAACCTGATTATTCAGATTATCGAGATATAACACATGCTGTTGCAAAAAAATTAGTAAATAATGCTTATTTTAAAGCATTTCGTGGTTCAAAAAAAATGACACCAGCATTACGTTATCAAAATTTACCACCATCAACAACACCATATCAAATAACAAATAGAATTTATCAACTAGCTGATGATAAAAAGGAAACGGATATTTTACAATAAATTTTCTATTTTTTAAAGCAACGAATATTTTTTTTCTTTTGTCCATATATATATATATATATATATCTATATATACGTAACAAAAAAAAAATTCACGATATTTTGACGTGTGATGTTTTGTTCGTGATTTTTGTTTTTATAATATAATATGAGTGTTATTGTTTATTCTCAATGAAATATCCCGATGATTGAGTGTATTTGTTTCAATCTGCTGAGATATAGTAAATGTAATTGTATCAATACTTAGTTCATAACTTATTGTCAATAAAACTTATCATCGTTCAAGGTTATTCTTTTTTAAAGAGAAACAGAAACTAGCAGGGGGTCGTTAAGTGATAGAAACAATCGCCCTCTGAAAGTTGAATTTCTTATTACGCAAATAGTTAATTAAGAGATCAGGAATTAATTACAGTTCGAATTAGACTTTATTCCAGCTGTGCGCGACTGACTCAAAACTCGATATGATCGATCTCCTATAGTGTTATGCAATGCAGTGTTTATATGGACGGTTTATCTCCCTGTCTCCTTCAGCTCATTTAATTTGATTTATATATCAAATGAAAGTTCTTTCTTTTATCTATCGAATGACATGTACAAATATGACAAAATATTTTTTTTTCCTTTTAGATGAGATTGTTTGCTTATATGTACAGTATGAAGACACAAAGATAACACTCCTCCGCTTTTGAATTGTAAAAGCAACAATCCACTTTGATTTATATATCATTCGATAGGATCTTTAAAGCTTTATAAAATGATACTTTAGCGTTGAGCTTAATTTATGGGCACGACATTTTAATCAAATGCACAATGTTCGTGAGTACTCAAAGTTGTCCTTTTTTTACTGATATTTGATAGATTTTGGTCAGAATAATTAGGATTTCTGTCAAAATAAATGATATATTTGTAAGCAGCATAAAAATTTCATCAATAAATTCAATTCTGGTCCCCTTAATGTTATGTTGAAAAATAAAGTCAATTCAAAACATCGTTTTTATTATTTATTTATCGATCGCTTTGAATTTTTCTAGGTCTTTAAAAATTTAAGAGTGATTCTTTATAGTCAAACTGACGTTGTGATTGACTTGATTTTTCGACATAATCCTGAGGAAGAATAGATCTGAATTTTTTGACGAAAGAAAAAAAGTTGTCGAGCGATTTTGAGACACATATAGATCGACACAGTTTTTTATGCTGCTTACAAATATATCATTTGTTTTGACAGAAATCCTAATTATTCTGACCAAAATCTATCAAATATCAATAAAAAAGGGACAACTTCGAGCACTCACAAACATTGTGGATTTGATTAAAATGTCGTGTCAATAAATTAAACTCAACGCTAAAGTATCATTTTGTAAAACTCTGAAGATCCTATCGAATGATATATAAATCAAAGTGAGTTGCTGCTTTCACAACTCAACAGCGAAGGGGTGCTGTCTTCGCGTCTTCATATTGTACATTACAAGCAAACAGTCTTATCTAAAAGAAAAACAGGAAAAAAAATAATATTTTGTCATATTTGTACATGTCATTCGATAGAGAAAGGAAAGAACTTTCATTTGATATATAAATCAAATTAAATGAGCTGAAGAAGCCAGGGAGATAAACCGTCCATATAAACACTGCATTGCATAGCACTATAGGGGATCGATAATATCGAATTTTAAGTCAGTCGCGCACAGCTAGAATGAAGCCTAATTCGAACGGCAATCGATTCCTGATCTCATAATTAACTATTTGCGTAATAATAAACTCAACTCCAAGAGAGAAGAGGGTAAATATCATCGCTTAACGACTTTCTTTCCTTTGAATTTTGTCTATGTCCTAGTGTGTAAACAAAAATACAGATTTCTTTGATCATTTATCCGAAATTAAAATATGAAATTAATGATTGTATTGTTCTTGACAAACAATTGTTTGGATAGTTAAACAAAATTTTTGTGCTCAATTCTTCGATTACTCTAATTTCGATTCACCTCATAATTCGAATTCTTACTTAGAAGTTTTGATAACAATGAAAACATAAAATAAAAAAAGTAGTACAAGTGCGTAGATCTTTTGATTAGTGGTGTAACCATCAAAAAAGTTGTAGGAGGGAAAAGAACTCAGCATCCTTGAGTATGTCTATAGAGACGGTGAAAGCCCACTAGCAGTGCTTCCGAAAGGAACTGAAGCTTCCTTTTGAGGGGAAGTCAACCATTTACAGTGAGAAGTTGAATCCCACCTAGGTCCGTTTAGTCACATCACTGCTTTTGATAGTATATTCAAAATAGAAAAAATATCATTTCTTCATACATCAAAGTAAATTTGTACATAACTAATAGTGATCGTAGAAATGAACAAAAAGACACGTATGAATGATATAGAAATTATAAAAGAGACAATCATAAGGCATGTGCCTTTGCCTTCAGATAGTTACTTTTCTTAACAAAAAAATATCAACGTAAATTAGAGTCTGGAGGTGATTGAAATTTTTATGCTTGAAGTCAATATGTTCTCAAATTTTGACATGAAAAACTTCTGCGTAGTGTAAATCTAAGATGAACAAAATCTTTAAAACATAGATTGAAGCAAATCACTTTACGAGTCTCTCTTGAAACTTGACGAATTAATTTTTATTTTGGCTATCAAAGTTAACATTGAAAGTTAAAACAATGTGCCTTCTTATTGGTAATAACTATATTAGCCCATTGATATCAGTTTACTTTGAAATTTCGATTACTTTCATGACCAATAACAGATATACAAGACTTGCAAATTAACATCGATATCAGTTATTCAATCAGATCCATATTTGCTTCTCAATTGAAGACTGAATGGAATCTTCATAAATGTTCATAAATTTGACAGATCTAATGAAATTCACCGTTCTAATCGAACTTTTCTTGCCATTAAAATGCAGAACATAGAATTTGAATATGATCAGCTATCATATGACGAGGAAAGTCATAGTTGTGAATAAATAAAAAAGAAACAACAAGAAATGGTACGTTTGACTGTTGCTGTAGACGAATTCCCATACAAACCAGTTGTGCACATATATAATATATTAACACATCTTCAATAGAGTTGGATCCGGACTGGTCAATTTTTTATCAATTTTTGGGATATTGAAACTAGTCTTTTTTTTGCTCATTTTAAGCGATTTTCATCGCTTGACAATCTCTAACTGACAAATTTCTAGTAATGATCAAAGTCTCAACTCTGAATATGCAGTTCATAGGTTCCTATCGTACGATAAGGATTTCAAATTATGCTGAATAAATTTATTATAGTTACGAAAAGTTAGCCAAATATTAGAGCTTAAATTCCGTCTAAACTAGAGATTTTTTATCTCAAAATGTCGAGCTCACTTTTCTCTGGACTAGTTTTATTCAACTGTCCGAAACTCTCAATGACTAGTAGTTTCCTGTTCATACTTTCATTGCAAAAATATTAGAAAATATTCCATTCTGTTGTGAAAGTTATGGCAATTTCTAGTCTCATCATACAACTGTAAACATATCTTAGGCATTGAAGAAACACAAAAAAAAATGAATTTGAGTGTAAAAATCGAACTTTGTAGTTAAATAAACTTTTTTTCGAAATAAGTAGCTAGTTAACTGATATATTAAACCGGCTGATTCGGTCGTGTTGAAAACAATTCAAATACTTTAAGTCTGATCATCAATAGTTGTTCCATAGAGTATTAATTATAAGAATGTATAAAACTTATTTTTATTTTTCCAAATGGAAGACCACCGATCTTACTCAATCGAGGTATATCAATACTATCATGTAACAAGAATCAAATATTATTACTATAGTATTTCTCACTCTTTTTAACATAATCTTATACGACTTATAGATTATCTACAAACGAATAATAAACATACATTCAAACTATGAACTATTATCTTTTAATCATTTGATTTAAGCAATGTGTTTTGAAACTTAGTATAAATTAATTTTTTTAAACTCTTCTATGGAACACTTGTCTGAGTCTTCAAACTGTTTACAATAAAATCGTTGCAATCATAAACAGAGAAAAGCGACCATTATATATAGAACCGTCAGTAAAATCTTTATATATTATTTTCATATATTTATTTCTTGTTTAAAATCCAAAAACGACATATTATATTGATACTTAAGAATATTATTCATCCATAATTACTAGCATAAAATGCTATTTGTTTGATTGCAAAGGGAATAAACAAAACGTTGTATATGCAAAAACATAGCATTTCAAATCTAGATGTCGCTTGAATGTTTGATTTTATTCTTTTTATAAATTTATTTTTATTTTTTTAAAATTGTCACTTAAAAAAACCTTTTCTAATCATTTTAATTTTTTAAAAAACTAATTTAATATTTTGATATTGCATAAAAATAGTTGTATCACTTAGTAACATTTGTTCTATTGACACTATTAATGGTAACAAAAACTATCGAATTAGTAAATTGATTTGAGAGAAATTTAAAACGAATCATTTCATTTTTTTTTTTCTTTCAATATTTAATCATGATCCATATTAATTCAATTTTATGATTTACAAAATTCGTTTTTTTTTCTTTTATTATTTCTCGTTTAAATGTATCAATAAAATTTTCTATTCTTCTACATCTATCTAATTGGATATATTTAAAAAAAAAAACAATGACAAAATGTCTTTTGAAGGCTTTAAAAGCCGTTGACCTCGACCAACATGTTGGATTATTTCGTTCACTTGGTTATGATTCAGCTGGTGCATTAGCACATTTTCGTGCCGAACATTTTGAAAAATTGAATTTTAACGAACAAGAATTACTTCGTCTTATTGCTTTACTTGATGTTCTAAAGGAAGCAACACGTGAAGGAAAAATTTGTCCACATTATTTTAATTCAACTAAAACAAATAAACAACAAACAACAATCAAATCTATTCCTATACGAGCTAGTTGGAATGATGAAACTATTCAACAACGAAATTCTCAATCAAAAATAAAAAAACAATCAATTGAAAATTTAAGACCAA